CGAATATTGCGATTTCGCACTATCCCTTTTCGTGGGAACCAAAACATAAAAAAAAATCAATCAATTCATCCAATACTTGCAGCATACTGAAAATTATTGAAATTTCGCCAGGAACCATTTTCCCCATAAAAAGTGCGGAGTCCATTCCGAAGTATTTGAACACAACAATAATATGTACTTTTTCAAAATATTCATCGACAGAACCTGAACCTAAACCCTGAGATTATTCAAATTGCTCCGAATTATTTGAACAATAATATCGACCAATAACAATAAAAATAATTATAAAATAGTTATTTTTGTATCTAGAGCGCGAAATGCTACTTTGGTGATCGAGATCTGATTTTTTTAACGAGGCGTAGCCGAGACAAAAAAATAGTCGAGATGATATCGTCTAAGTGATGATCTTCGGATTTTTAAGCCTATCAGGCATCGAAATGTATTGTATTTGGGCCACAGTCAACTTCATGTATTTCAATAAAATCCAATTTAACAGACAATTAATGAACGAATATCAAATTGTAATACATAGTTGAATAGGGAATTTCAAGGCGCATAAGATAAACTATAAAAATGTACAGGGTGCCATTAGGAAAAAATAGTTGGGTCTACTTCCAATCGAACAGGTGCTTTTGTGAATTTAAAATTGTTATCTCTTCAAATAAAAAACACTACAGGTTGTTACATATCTCCAGTGTCACCCGGTATAATACGTTTTCCAGAATATTATTGCCTAGCACTGATAATAACCATGTCACCCACTCACCCGTTATACATTTCATATCAGAGTTTTCAGTTAATGCGAATTGCGTCCAATGTTTTCCACGTGAAACTTGTCACAAATCCAATACAAAAATACATCCTCATGCAATATTGATCAGCAGCCATTCAACAAGAACTAAATAAAACAACGAATTTCCCACATTGTGGTTTCAGATTCGATGTGACCACAGGTACGGCGTCAGGAATAATTCAGTTTTGATCTGTATAATAGTAGAAGTCTATCGCGTCTCAAAGTGGAGTAAATGGATGAAATAGTCGTATAACTCCCAGTCATATCTACAATTATTCAATACATGTTTCGAACCTACATATAGGTTCATCAGCTCAGATGTTATTTTTTTTATGTTCTGGTTCCCACGAAAAGGGATATCCTGTAATATTCAGAGAACATCGTGAGAACCAAGGAAAATAAGGTAGGAATTGGTGTTCTTTCCTTCTTTGGACAGAATCCAACAGTTTCAGGGTATGTTTGGGTGCTGCACTCCAAATATGGGAACAGTATTCCAGGACAGGTCGGATCTGTGCCTTATGGATCATAAGCAGCTGACTGGAAGTGAAATAGCTCCTAGCTCCTGGCCTGAAACAAATAACCAAGTTTTTGGGATGCACTTTCAGCAATTGATCTCAAGTGATTTTCCCAAGAGAGTTTATTGCTGATGGTAATACCAAACATCGAAATAGATGTCTTCAAAGGTATGTTTATTCCTGGCAAGCTTATGTTTTGCACAATAAAATGAAGGAATGAAATATTAACAGCATTACATAGAAGTAATTCAATGTTCTACGGGAAATATTCCTCAGAGATCTCGGCTATAATTCCATCACTAGCAATACCAGTCAGACGAACTCGACCGGCCCAGTCAGCACATCCCTTACATGTCAAGCTTGAATGACGTCGAACAACACTCTACCAAAACTCTTTCGTCTATATAGAACGGCGAAGCTTTGGAATTCTTTGCCAAGGGAGGAATTCCCAAGAACTCATAACCTCCAAGAGTTCAAAACAATTCCAACTCCTACCTCCTATCCTTATCCTTCCTAGGTACACAAGATGTTCCACGAACATTATGAGAATTTCATTTCGTGCGCTTCAAGAGATGGAGAAATTAACAAAAAAAACACGGAAAAGAATAATCATAACATTAGTAATGCTGTGAATAACAGAAAAGCTAATTTGAATAAATAGAGGAAGTATAATTTGGATTTTCGTTTGATCAATGCTCAAAATATGTTGCAAGCTGTACGACCATCAAGAGTGAGATAACGTGGACTTGTAAGGTTATTTCCGATGGCATTTGACAATGTTGACTCGACAAAGACAGGCGACAAGGACTGATGTTGATTGTTGTTGTTTTTGTATTAATAAGACTCCACTATATTGGAAATCAGTTGATGATTGAACAAAAATATTTCGTCCCATCAGTGAGTCTACAATATTTTCATAGTCGAACAGTAATATCATGATGTTCTGAATATTCGACTAGTTCGAGATAAATCTGTCGCTTTGTTGTTCACGAAATTATGTTGCCAAGCAACACCACGAGTGTGTCAGGACGAGTGGTATTGCTGTACGGCAACACAATTGAGAAGTTATTCAGAACAGAGTGGTATTTCACGAAGCATAATAAGAAGCCATATCATCAAAGCGATTCATTCTAGCATACCGGGTGTCAACGAATCTATTAGACAAGTCATAACTTCTAGACCATTAGGTGTATCAAAATGAGATTTGGTATGGGTGAATGGTATATGAAGAGAAGAGTTTTCACATATTTTTCATTTCCTGGTCACTTCCGCTTTCACCGGAAATGGCTCCGGTTTTACATTTTTAAATGGAACACCCTGTATATTGTAACATATTTGGATTTCTGAGACAATTCTTAATCAGAATGTGACATTTTCGGAAGTTTCTGTGCCTATTTGATTCTTTCGGAGTCAGTTTTGAAATTACATCTAGGTGGCCATGATCAAGTAAACTAATCTGAGGACCTCAGGTGATATCAGAAAATCACAATCGCAAGTTTCAGTGACAAGTATGATAGATATAAATAAGACAAGTTGGTAAAATTACTTTTCCGTGTCTAACTATTATTTTTCAAATGGCAACCATTTTTTGACAAGCACTTTCCGAAAAAAGGATATTCTAACGAATCTAACGATACTAATTTATTTGCGATTGTATTACAATTGTTGTAATTGTTGTAAATAAGAACATACATTGAATATTACTGACGAAAATACTTCATAATAATGGTTTGCAAAATAATAGTCTTATTTGTATCTATCATACTTATTGTCACTAAAACTTCGCGATTGTAATTTTCTGATATCACCAGAGGTCCTTAGATTGGTTTACTTCCGATCATGGCCACCTAGATGTTGCCTAGAAGTTATGACTTGTCTAATAGATTCGTTGACACCCGGTATACAGCTATAATGATTCAATGTCAAACTAACTGACTTTACTCTGCTATTCATCATTGAAAACACCAACGCTTATACATCAGAATTGAGAGACAGCTATATAGAGTCTTCGCGATTATTTTCTTCGTATGATTTTAAACCAATCAGAACGTTTAATGGAGTTGAGCTACCTTGTATAATTTCGGATATACGTGGATATACATAGAGTAACTCCGCCAATCAGAAATCAGGAATTATTTCCATAATATCCAATTCATATGTTTACATACAAACAAAGCGGGTAGTAAAATATTGAAGTTCGTTCAGAACTATTAAAAAAATAACGTATCGAATACAATTCGAACATCAGACTAATCATGTCAAATCGTGTCAGTTTAACTGAATAATCCTTTCGCTTCGCGGTCGGATTATTTCAACTGTCAAACTGACACTCTTTCTAATTATGCAACAAGTTATATGTGTATAATCCGAAAGTATTTACTGATAATACAAGTTGTCTTTGGCATGTATTTGGTCGAAATATAAAAAAACCCAATAACAGGACATGCAAGACAAATACATTTCATATTCATACATTTATTTTGGTACATTTTTCACAAACGTTTTATGTCTGAGAACTTTAGGATATATTTCTTAGGTATTTTTAAAACAGCCTAATTTTTGTTGAATAAAGATTGATTTTGTCGCAGACATTATTGAAATTCCTGCACATTGTATAAACAGGAGATTTTGCCGTAACAATAAAAAATCGTTTTTCTTGCTAACCTGAATGAGTCGTGATTTTCTTTGCTCCCCATCCCTCGAACATCGCCTGGATCCGCTCCTGAATTAATCTGCCATTATTATCAGTCCTAGTTTCTTGTATCTCGGAAAAACTCTGTGGGTCTCATCAGATGTTACTGATGTTAGATCTCTTCACCTCTCCAATGAGCGGACCGAGCGGTGTCCATCCCCTTCTTGAAATTTTTTTTCATCTCTTGATGGAGCGCACGAAAGGAAATTCCTATAATGTTTGAAGAACATCGAGCGTCCCTAAGGGGGAAAGGAGGGGAGGTAGGTGTTGGATTTTTTTTCAGCTCTGTGATGTTCTTTGTTGTTGGGAATACTTCTTGTCCTGTAAGTGGAATAAGGAGATATACAGGGTGACATTTTCAAAACTTCCCACAATCAATATCTTCCTTCCAGTGAAAAATATGAAAAATCTAGAAGACAGGTCAATTTTATTTAACTGAATATTTTTACCCCTTTTGGTGCAACCCCCTAGGAGGGGGCTAGAATGTCAAATGGGAAAGGGGGGGTCAAGTGGCACATCATTTTAAAGGACGATTCAATTATCTTCTCACCCTTAATATCTTACTTACAGAAAACAATATGGAGAATCGAAAAATTCTATTTCAATGTCGAGATGGGACAATTTAAATGTATATTTTCAGCCCCCTTGGTTCAACCCGCTAGGAGTAGTATACGATGTATTTTACTATCAGTATTTATTGAAGTCTCTACTATTATAATAATGAAAACCAACATCTTGTCACTCTGACACTTCTTACATAAACTTCTATCATCTAATATACAGGATGTATTTCACATACAATACCCATACTACATCCTGCTTCTTCAAATAACTATTAAATTAACTCATAGCAAATAAAACAGTATATATGCTGAACATGATCGTCCAAATATTTCGGGGCCTTTCGTTCACGTTTGGGTCTTTCTCTTTCAGATACTTGGTATCCTCTAGTATCTTGAAGCTGGCATGTTTCGTCGTTTTTATCATCTGATTTTGAAGTTTACTGTTTCGGCAAAACTTGGAAATGTCGACTATTTCTTCTAACTGTACTATCTCTATCTGTTCTGACTCGGTAATATCTTGGTTCATCTAACTTTTGTTCTATTACTCCTTCTCTCTGCATATTTATGATCCAAACTTTATCTTCAGTGCTTGACTGCTTCTTTTCTTCAACTCTATGCCGAATATCATAATGTGTTTTCTGTTTCTCCTTTTCTTCCAACATTTTTTCTTAATCTTGTCATGATCAGGTAACTTTGGAATTAGTTTCTTCTCTAGTGTCGGTATTCTATCGTACACGAATTTTATAAATATCGAAGAGAGCTAACAATAAATAATGAACTCTTGTGTTACGGTGACCGACTTCTTATTCCTAAATCATTGAGAAAACCATGTCTAGTTCGTATTCACGATGGACATTTTCGACTTAATCGTTGTATTCGAAGAGTTAGAGAAACAATTTGGTGGCCATTGACAAATCAGCAAGTTGAAGACATTGTAACATTTTGTGAAATATGTTTAAAAAATAAACCCCACACCTGACACCATGTAGTATTGTGGGTTCATCTATATACGATGTATTTTACTATTAGTATTTATTGAAGTCTCAACTAGTATAATAATGACAACCAACATCTTGTCAATCTGACACTTCTTACATGAACTTCTCTCATCTAATATACAGGATGTATTTCACATACAATATGCCCATACTACAGAACCTTCTATGAAAAGGGCGTCAAGATGCACATTATTTCAAAGGGCGTTCAATTCTCTTTCCAACAGTACACTAGCTTATGATTTGTTGATGAGCAGGTTTCGAAAAATGCGGTTCTAAACTCACAGAAGTAATTGGACCATGCCTCCACTGAGGTGCATTCAAAATCTTCCTACCATTTGGACTGAAAGGGTCAATACAATAATACCAACCTTAAAACCATGCATATCAATGCAGGCATGTCCTACCCTAATAACACACTAATGTCCTATGGATATCCTTAGGATAATACCTAAATCCTACAGTATTCCTCATCAAGCACTACAGAGGACATCCTTAGGACATCCATAGGACAACCTATCAGCAACGCTGAGGGATATCAATTGGATGTCCATAAGATGTCCCAGGGACGTACGAATTATTCTTGAATTTGAATTTTTCTGGGTCCCTCTAGGACCAGATCTTGCATAACTGATTAGGACATCCAGTTGAGTAGATGGTCCGTAGAAGGTCCCCAAAAAGTTTCCCAAGGATGTCCAATGTCCAATGGACTTACGTAAAGGACATTGACGAGGAGTACTTATAGCCTACGAGCAATCATTCGTCGGCGAGGTGTAAGTTAACGTCCTCGCAGGGACAACATATTGAAAGTACCGACTGGGACGTCCATAGGACGTTATTTCTAGGACATTGGAAGAATACAGTTCATGAACCAATTGAGACATTCGACGGACATCCCTAAGGGACATTCGAAGGATGTCCCTGAGGAACATTTCGATTGTTATACGATCCTGGAAATATTGACGGTTGTCTAGAAGAGACATTATATGAGATCTGAAGTCACGCCAGAATATGTACTACTCGGGACATCCGAAGGATGTCCCTGAAGGAACGTTTCAAATCATATCCCATCAGGGACATGCCAAGGACGTCCTTGCATGGACATTCACGTGGGACGTCTAAGGTATGCTATTTCTAGGACATTCGAAAAGATATACCAGCTGGGACATTCCATGGACGTCCTTGCTCGAATATTGCATGAGAAAAACGGGATGGGACGTCCCAAGGACACTTATTTTTGGTTCAGGACATTCGGACGTGAATTGTACCAATTAGGGACGTCCCTAGGACGTTGTGTGCTATTAGGGTCATTACTTCTGTGAGTTCAGAACGACATTTTTCGGAAACTGCTCATCAAAAAATGAAAAACTAGGGTATAGTTGAAAACGGACTTGAACGCCTTTCAAAATGATGTGCATCTTGACCTCCTTTTCCATATGAGGTTCTAAGGGTAACATCTACCCCTCCTAGGGGGTTGTACTAACAGGGCTAAAAATATGCATCTCAAGATTCTTCCTTGAAAATGGAATTGACGTGTCTTTTCGATTTTTCATGTCATTTACTGAAAGGAAGATATTATCGGGTGGGAAGTTTTCTAAGTGACACGACATTCCATCTCTTGATATATCGATATACTTTGCAGAGAAACTTTTCCCTTCAGTTCCAACAGTTGCCTTAGGTTAGGTTAGGTTCAATGTGAGGGGGGCGAATTCCGCCCCTCCACTGCGACCCCAGATGGGTCTATTGTGGCTCACCCCTAGAGGTTGCAGTTCACTGTACAGTCCACATCTTTTACAAAGTTTACGGTTGAATTAGGTGAGATTTGTCTGAAATCGATAGGTTCTAAATTGGTGAAGCCAAATACATCCATTCTAGGATCTGCCTGGTTATATTTTTCGATGGTTTAGGCAGAAACGCTTTCGAATGGTTCAACCCTGGTAATTCAGACCAGTACGTGAGTCTCTTTCCCTCCGCCCAGTCCGAGATTGTTGTTTTGGTCGCATTTGTGGTGACCACAAAGTATGGTTCTGGTCCTATAAACACAGATTCGGTTCCCTGTTTGACAAGGATGTTGGCTTTCTCGTTGCCCTCCACCCCCTGGTGTCCAGGCACCCACATCAAAGAAACTCTGTTGTTGGCACCCAGGCATTCTAGGGATTCAGTTGCCTCAGACTTTTCTGGGATTTGGTATCGATTCTCACCTTCACCAAACACGGAAATCGTCGATCAAGTAAATTGAAAGATGATGATCTATCGGTTGGGGTTTCCATCTAGAAACACACACCCTGTATGTATGCACCCACCTCAATATTCCAAAAAAACAGCCAATGGGTTGAGACAAATAGCGAACAAACTGCTCTCAACCTTCTCACAGTAGCATAAAACTAATGAGGTTCTTCAGGTATTATTAACTTCATCACTAACGATAACGAATAAACACGAATATTTCTTGAAAAATATCGATCGAAGCAAGGCAAGGTATCATGTTCAATGAATTACAGTTGCATTAAAAGAAGGGGGAAATTGACAAATCATACTATTGAAAACAAGATCATATAGGTTATCGAAGTTATAAATATGTTGAAAAATTCTTCGAAATGTTTCCATCAATTTGTTGAAAGTGACTATTATGATTTCCAACAGTTTAGTTTGACGTTTGACAGGTCGTTAGATTGGCTCATCGCGTAACCCAGTAGACACAGGATATCCTATAGATATCCATATGATGTCCGTGCTTGGTCCATATGGACATGGACACTGATTGGCTATCAATTGGATGTCCATTTACCACTAGTGCAATGTATATCCGTTTGGGAACATTCAGTGTTCGTCCAAACTGGAAGTGAAGATTTTATTGAATGATGGACGTCCATTGGACTTTCCTTGTACATCTTTTGGTTGCATCGAATTATAACACGATATATACCATTTGCAAGTCGATCAATTCTTTACATTCGAATAGTTAGTTTAACATATTTCCAATTTCATGAGATAAAAAGAAACGACGAATTTGAAGGCAGCAAAAGTTTCGGAGCGGTACCTTTTTTATTGGCGGAGGCACTGCTGAATATGCCCACTCAGATGAAAATAGTAGATTGTTTTATTAGGATCAAAAGTGACACTTTGTTTGACAAGCGAATTTTGCATTTGCGAGGCGGAGCGTTTAGCGAAGCCGAGCGAAAGCGAAATTTGCGAGTCGAACAAAGTCACTTTTGATCCGAATGAAACATGCTATTTTTTCTGCAACCGAAACAATTAGTTCAAATGAACATGTGAAGTAACCACCAATGCCGTGCCATATGTATGCAATGGAACAAATATTGACAAATAATCCATGTGGTGAGAATATTCTATACCTACATTCAGCAGGTTAGGTTTTCTAGGATGTTCGAATTGTAGTTTCAATATAAATACAACCACAGAGTGACATCTTTGTGTATGGACCAGGTGCTCTGATGGCAAATACCTCGCCAGTGCCAGCTATATAGCACAGTTGAGAGAATATTACATATTTCTCCCAACTGTGGCTATAGGAACAAGACGTGGAAAATGTTAGGTTAGTGAGCATATCAACAATGATAATAGTGATTATTTATTCCTCTCCATACTACACTGTGTTTGTCTAGATAATCAAATGAAGCTAAACAATATCGTTGTTTGAGACAAAAAAACTATTGCTAGCAGTGATTATTCAAAAACAAGTTATCCATCCCGAGAATGAAATACAGATCAATCAAGTATTTGAATCTTGAAGGCTTCCCTGATCATAACAAAAATACTCAGCTGAGATGTTTATAATTCCAATACTAAACTATAATGAGGTATATTTATATCTCCAGCATGGATATGAAATGACAAATCTGCTGAAATCGGAAACAAATCAGGTATAGGTCTCAACCCAAATAACCAACCGTCACAATGTTGTTTATTCTTGATGATGTCCAGTAGATCCTTTTTGGTTCCTAGGAGCTAAAGTTCAACTTTAGCTCCTAGGAACTAAAATTCAACTTCAGTTCCTAGGAACTAAATATGTTGCTTAGCAATTTTGTGTCAGTAATAGAAACGTCAATTTGAGAGCTGATTTTGGTATCAAAATGGACGACTTTTGTGTCGGTTGCAGAAAAAATGTCTTTTCGGAGTAGTGAATTCGACTCAGCATTCAGTGGTTCCATTAAAATTAATAATTATTTGAAATCAATATTAAACTGATATGTTATTATATACATAGCTCAGTGATACTTTAATAGTCTGAAAGAGGCTTATTCTTCCTGTATGAATGTTTCGTACATACATTTGCAAGAAACATTATGGCCAATGGAGTTGCGTACCTGCCTGATAAGCCAAAGATCGTGGGATCCAACAATTTTTTTGTGGAAGCTTGCATTTACTGTTGATCCAAGATATGTCCATCACCAACTTCCAATGGATATCTGATGGATATCCATTGGAAGTCCTTCTAGGCGTCCATTGTATGTACGTGTGTTATATGGGAACTCTGTGATATTGCGAGAATATGCAGAGAATGGAAACTGAACTGAACTGGATGAACGATCCTGATGCCGTTCCTGCAATATTCCGCATCGTTAAAATTAAAGGTATACCCTATATTCACTGAGATTGGCGTTAGTATCAAATCGAGTTTAGAGCCGGCAGGAAATTGAGATTCATATCGCACTGGCGCATATTTTTGTACCCATACAATATGCATAGAATGAACCGACTGCAGCGTATTGTACTTCTCCATATCATAATCCAGACATATCCTGTGGGAAATTTTGAGATCCGTATATGATAATGTTGAAACAGGAAATTATATTGCGAATACGTTATATCCCTAATATGACATTTTTAAGACAGCGTATATCTCAGACTCAGATGATCGCTATCCATTCAAAAGTTCTCGAGTAATTCGAACAACCAGGGTCGATCCTAGGATGTCGGCCGCCAGCGTGCTATTACCGCGTTGACGTTATAAACTCAACTAATTGTATAAGGATGATAGGTAAAACATTGAAAAATAGTACATTGTTTTATTAGGATCAAATGTGACACTTATTGTACAAGCGATATTTGCGTTTGCGAGGCAGAGCGAACACGAAGCCGAGCACGCAAATTTTGCGAGTCAAACAGTTAAACTTCAACTTTAGCTCCTAGACACTGAAAGTGTTGCCTAGCAACGTACATACTGTACTGTGTTATGCTATCAGATAATCCTGACTTTTCAATGAATATTTGAAATTCAGCTTATTTATCCAACTTTTAATAGCTAAGAATGATAAAACTATACCGAGTGTCCCAAGTTATCGTATAAAGACAATATCTCGCTTATTTGACAAGATAACTGGAAAATCCAAGAACTGCATTGAATGGCATTGAAGTACCTTCCTAATGACATATAAAAATGTATATTACATCTGACAGTTCTCTGGCAGCTATTTCACACTTTTTATTTTCAAATGGCAAACATTTATATATTGGTAGTAGTGAAAAAAAGTATATACCTATACACTGCCTATTTTCACCAATACCACGAGTCAAAAAATTGGAAAAAGAAAGATAATATTGAAAAAAATCCCTATTATTTTCAAGACTCGAGATTCGAGCTCGAACCACAAATAAAAATGAAAGAGTAGCTGAAAAGTGACATTAATATCACACAGGGACAAGCGTCTATTGATTGATTGATTGATTAATAGCAGAATGATCAGTCAGGGTTCGAAGCCCAAAACACTGCAGCCTTTGGGCCTATTGTATTCCTGATCATGCTGTTGACTCAGGTGAACAGGTTCGCTACCTTGATGAGGTTTAGCAGCCTCTTCACCAAATCATTCTTTGGAAATGCCTCTTGAGAGTTTACTGCTCCCAGAACGTTGTATCTCCAACGCGCTAGTGCTTCGCACTCCAATATTACATGGGTGGCAATTTCCTCCTCCTCATTGCATAGTCTGCATATGGGTTCGTCTGTATAGATGCCCATTTGATGCATATGTTTCCTCAAGGGGCAGTGACCGGTTATTAGTCCCGTCACTTCTTTGATCTGACTTCTGTTTAAGCTCAGAATGTCGTTAGTCAATAGTCACTGTTTTGGACAGTGTTCCAACCATCAGTTCACTGTGTCTTTGTCCTGGGACATTGTTCCAGTATGCCTGATGTCTTTCTTGCATCCACCTTGCCAGCCAGGCGCGTATTGAGGTTTTGGGGATACCGAACACAGGTTCCGGTCCCATAAACAACGTCGCAGACCCTTGCCTGGCAAGAGCGTCAGCTGGACAAGCGTCTAGCTGGACCAGCGAATCTTTCACACACATGATATTTATTACTTCTTCATATTGAGAAACTACGACTACTACGAGTAAAGCGATAGCTGAGTGGTCTGGGTATCTGACTTCCACGATGGTGACTGGGGTTCAATCCCTGCGAGGCGAATTTTTATTTCAATTTTTTTTTATTTTGGACAAGTTAGGTTGAAAGTAGATGCAGAAGAGATATTTCCCTTCCGCATATTTTTTTTTATCGCTTCCTAGGGAGGATAGGGATATATAGGAGGTAGATATTGGAATTTTTTTTGAACTTGAACTGGAGATTATATGTTGTTGGGAATACTTCCTCAGGCAATGAGTTCCAGAGCCTAGCCGTTCTATGGATTCCTTATTCCTTATTAATCTTATATTCGACTTTCAACCGGCTAAACGAGTCTGATTTGGTGGTCTGACTTCAAAAAAGAGGACATTTACCGTCCAAATGAGGAAAAATATTAATTGCGTTTTATTTATCCGATTCCGCCACCGGAATCACTTCAATGTGTCGTTTTATTTGCAACTGTTCTGATTTCGGTTGCTACTTTTCATTCCGTCCACACTACAAGGAATGACGTCGAATGACTGTTGACAGTTACAAAAAATTATATTAGATTAGACGAAAAACGAAACTTTCTGAAAGTAGAAGATATTTAGGAGACATTTTTATCGTGAAGTTCACAAGTTCAAGATTCTTTCAAATAAGACAGGTTTCATATGTTCACTTCCAGATAAAATCAATTTTCTCGATCTCAGAGAAGTTTCTCCAATCAGCAAAATTACTGCTCAAAATATTCGTTGATTGATTTTCTAGATTCATAACTCTAGTATCATGATTTCGACATTATTTGGAGCTCCAATATATGAATATAACCAATGATGTAACCTCTTATGTGAATTATCCTATGCAATAAGGTCAGGAAGATTAGCGTTTTATTTGTAAACGTCATTCTGTTTCCACCAGAATGGAACAAATAAAACGGAACTAGAGTACGAGGACAACAGTCTCGAAAAAGAGTACTTGTACTTAGAAAAAAAGTAGGTACGTCTGGTCACTCTAAATACAGGGAGACTTTCGATCGTGTCGTCCTCCATTTCAGCTGCAATAAATATGGAGCGTGAGATATGAGGCACGTTGGCGAATGTGACATGCCAGGGAGATTTAGAGCATGTTTAGAGGCTCACACGGCCGAGCTGGAAACGGAACGGGCCATATACGAGCTGTCAGAAGTCACAAAGGTGACGAGTCTCCCGAGTTCGGCGGCTTTCAGAATTAATTTATTTGTTCGGGAGTTGCCGGAAAATTGATAATAGGTACATTATTTCATATTCCATGCGTTCCATGTGCACAGAAGGAAGAGTGTGGTTATTAAGTTTACAAGTGGGTAATTCACAAAAATAAATGTTAATCCAATCCATTGCTAGATATACCCCAATGAGTACAGTGACGTTGAGAAAACGTTGCTTAATGGTTTGAAACTGAACGTTTATAAGGGGTATTTCTCAAACGTTGATTCAACGAGAAAATGTCGCACGATAAAAAGTTTTCTTCAACCAAATTACCTTCTAGAAATAAACGTATAATGAGAACGTTTTTTCAACTTGAGCATCAACGTGACATAAACGTAATGTTTCGACGTTTCATAATTGTCGATAATAAAGGTTCATTCAACGTTTAATTGACGTTCAAAAATGACGATTTGAACAAGTTGATAAAATAAGATTTTTCAACGTTTACTTCGGATCAATTTTCATTCGTCGAATTTTCGGTTTCAGCTAGATTATTTTTCGTGTTTTTTGTGTCCAAAATGAATTTATAATCATTTTCATAACTATTGCAATTATTATTATTATAACTTACTAACATGATATTATGTGTCCATGTATTTCCTTTCCGTTTCACTTCCTTCTCAGTGACGTATCTATCTTCACGTATCACTATTCAAATTTGCTCGACTACTCGTATTTGTACCCAAACTCTTGGTGTGTGCGTCGGCGAGATGTAAACGGAATGAATACACGTTTTTTTTTTACCAACCGTTATCAAATTCTTTCAAGGAAGCTTTCAAGTAACGTTCATTTCAAGAGTCCAATGAACGTTTTGGATAAACATTAGTTCACCGTGAAGACTTTGTCGAGTCGATGAAAAGTAGTTTTGTATCCATGTGAAACACACGTTTCCAAATGACGGATGATATAGAATATGGTTTGACGACGAACGTTAGTTTTCCTTGAACAGTTCAACTATATGATATAGAATATCTTTCAACGACAACTTACATTACACGTTGACGAATAACAATTGAAAAACGTTGTTGAAAAACGTCGGTCAGAAAATGGTGACAGAATCGCCTCAAAGAAACGTTTATTTCGAACGTCTAACTAACGTTCCGAAGAAGAGTTTCATAAATGCATGATTACAACAGATCGTCAGGACATATCGTTTTCAATACGTTCATGAAACGTTTAGATTCAACTTTAATTATTTCAACGTTGAATTTCTCAACCATAAACGTCTATCTAACTTGTTCAACGTTGATAATACGTTGAAAAAACGCACGTGTGCCCATTGGGACTTAGTTGATACAAAAATATCCATTTTTTTTATTATTGGCAACATTTTATTCTGCTCATTTACACATCTTCCTATTGTAAAATTGAACGAAAAAATTGGAATCTGGTACCGGGTGACCAGTTATATTCTGACCCATTTTAACTACTCATATCTCCGAAATTATTTAGTTTATCGATGTGCGGTTTGGACTTGTCTATTTCGATATTTTTCGAGTTTATTTTGACGGGTTCACCTTCTCACTCGAACTTCCGGTTCTACCGGAAACAGGCAATCCATTATTCTGGTGAAGGGCAACTTTTTTATATCATCGAATCACCATGTATATTTTAGCAAATTCAGAAAAACTGGTCTTTTCTCTTCCTTACAATGTATTACAAGTAATGTTTTTCTTGGAAACTATCAGAGTTATAACTCTTTGGAAAAACTACTGCATGTGGAATGGTTTAAAGACATTATACAATGTTATCAAAGTCGCCTTTGGAAATTCTGGTCAGAACAGATGAAATGCCCGATATAAGGTGTCAAATAAAGATTCTCGAGCAAGTGTCCACATTGATGGCAGGGTGAATAATAGTTATTTATACAACAAGGAAGTGAAGAATATCAGTATTACCCAGGGTAGTATTGATATTTGAAAACTTAATTTTAGAAATATCTCAAAAAAATAGGTGACCCTGATTAATTGATTGTTTTTGTTTCAGAACTGTGCTATAACCACAGTACTGTCAAATCTACACGGGCGCTCAGCTAGCAGAGAAAATGTATCCTACATCCACCAGGTGAGAAAAATGAAAGAGATTGAAATTTGCAATCAAGACCAGTTATAGTAGTGGTCTAAGGCATGAGTGAAATAGTTATGTATGATACAAGAAGAAAGTATTAGATTTTAGCTCGATGTTGTGTTGTTTCTCGACGCGTATAGCGGAGGCAGACAAAAAACGAGAAGTAAAATCTAATGTTTTTCCGTGTATAATACACTGTTTTTTTCCTGTGACAGAGAAACGAAGATTCAAGAATGAGAAGATATAACATTATATTAATCTAAACCTCAAATGATTGTGAACTACTTCAACAGGACTTGAATAGACTGAATGAATGGTGTGAGACAAACAAATTACCACTGAATGTACAAAAATGTGAATATATATTAATTACGCTAAAAAATGATATTATATACTTCGATTGCACCATAAACAATATTCCCCTCCAGCAGGAGGACAACATCAGGGATCTAGGAGTTTACTTTAACGACAAACTCAATTTTTCGTATCATATTAACAAAACAACAGCATCTGCCAAAAAAATGCAAGGATTCATATTCAGGAGCTGTAAAGATTTCACTAACATCGAATGCTTCAAAGCACTATATGTGGCTCATGTTAGGTCAAAACTTGAATATTGTCACGAGTAGAACATACAGTATATTAGTAATTTGGAACCATGAGGGTTTTATAAACATAAAATTAATCGAATCATCTATTGACATTGGACTATGAAAACTGACCAAGGAACTCTCATGAGAAACGTGCAAATCTAATAAAATGATGTATATAAATATTGGATGTGAGGGTTCCGAAGTTAGTCTGGTCTGGGGCTACTCTTGACTTGACAAGAGCTCGTCTTATTGGTCGTTATAATGTAAGTTGTTATTAGGTCTTTATATTCATTGTTGTTGATTCATATTTATTATCGTTACCCATAATGTTTCATGCTTCAATACATATTGTTATCTTTGAATATAGTGTCGTACTTTCAGTTACCCCTAAACTATTGGTGCCTATATTTGAATATTACCTCTCGCAAACTATTAAGCCAAGCATTACCCCTTTATAAATCGATATGGGTGGATAACCAACTATTATAGCGTAACATGTTAGGAAGATGTTCTGTTTGCTACTATTAAACTGAATATTGAGCAAAAGATCTTCGAGTGGAAATAAAATAAATGATGGTAATGTGAACACCGTTTATTTACTACTGCCTGCTTTTGCCTACACACCGTTCAGGTTCAACTATATGCCCTGTACAAAAAACAATGGGTTTTTATATGGCTCCAAATCGGCTATCTCGGATTTATTATATACATATATATATATATGAATATATACATATATAACAGAAGCACAACTCTTTTGTCGTGACAATATGGTTCTTTAATCTGGTCACCATATACTACAACACACATATTCAACAGATAGAGTCGGTCCAAAGGATTATTATGAAGTATATGTCATGGAAACTAGATGGAGTATATCCTAATCAAGGCTTTGACAACTATGCTCTACTGAAACGTTTCGATTTCTTATCTCTAGAAAGCCGTAGATATTACTCATGCAATTTTTTGTACAAACTAGTCAATAACCTGATTGATTGTCCTGAATTATTATCCCAACTGAATTTTCATGTACCAAGACATAATGATAGAAATCAGATATGTTTTTACCTCAATACACCTAGAACTAATGTATCGGTCAATTCACCAGTATACTCTATGTGTAATGAATTCAACAAATTGTATTCGCATTCCTTAAGCCAATTTTAAAATCAACTCAAATGTATACTACTGAACAATCAAGATTAATTTCGAATGGATTCAAACACAATTTTGTTTACCTATATCAGTACATACGATTCTAGTTAACCCAATCTATCACAAATCTTAACAATATTATCAATATTTCAAATATAAGTATTTTACCATCTATACTTTTACTCTATTTACTTCTTGGCACCTTATATGAAATCGCGATCGCATTACTCATGTTATATTGTAACATTATTGTAACAAACATTGTATATATTATTTTGAATCTGTCCTCCAAGTGGGTATATTCCTGTTTGGACAATAAATGATTTTTTTTTTAATTAAAATCAAGAAAAAATCGATGTGAAATTTGAATTTTTCAACTGGTAGGCTGCGACAATTACGCGCAATTGATACGTTGCAGTCATACAATGTGTCTCATTTCTAATGGAAACACCCCTGTATGGGTAAGGATCCTGAAAATTGTTGGAGCGAGAGATATACCAGGAGTGTACTCTATGTCCAAGTGGGGTCATCTTTAGTGATATACGCACTGCTATCCAACAGCCGTGGAACTACACACATGTCCGGAAAATAATATCAAGAGAAAAGATAGGTTGAAAATCACTTCGGATTCGAAAACAGGACGTCCAATTCACTAAATTCCCATATTTTCACGCATTATTATCGGTCATGATTTTCCTCATACTTTCAACAAATACATTCATTTCTTATTCATTTCAATGACACCCATCGTGATCTTTGATCCATTGAATCACTCCTGATAATCTATTCGATCGTACTATTCCAGATTGGTATCTCATCATTCCTGATTAGAACTGACTTTATGATTATCAATTTCAGAACAACCATCAAGTGAATTTTCAGATTTAATAAATTTTTCCTCCTGGAATGTTGGTGGTTCTGTGGCTGCTGGCGAGCAGTGTATCAATGAAGATGACCCTACTTGGTAATTGGTCTCTTTCTTGGTCTTGAGAATTTCAGGCACCTACATCAAAAATTACGTTAGATACTGGGGTGCTTCCGTGAGAAGTGAGACAGAATTTATTGATTCACAAATGAAAATTGTTTAGAAGGAATATGAGTTGTCAGTAAATCAGACATTCTGTTTTCTGTTCTCGAATCTGAAGTGATTTCCAATCTATTTTGTCTGCCAATATGATTTTCCGGACATGTAGGTGGTTCCATGGCTGCTAGCGAGCAGTGTATATCACTGATGGTAATTTCAATTGGTCATTGACTGTATCTTAGGAATATTTCTTGCTCCTGGAAATTCAACAATCCTAACTCGATAATCACGTAGGATATGAAAAGTGGGACAATCTCATGATTAAGAGATCTAGGATGAACAGAGCCGCCCCAATTGTCAGCAGGAGCTAGACAGTACACATGATGATATAGTCATAGTACAAAGTTTCATGTTGAGTTCATAGAAATGAATATATTTATAATTCTCGTTCGCAACTGAATTGGCAAATCTACTCGAAACTGTTATTGAATATAGATTCTCATAATTCCGACAGTTCAGTCGAATGATTTCACGAACGACTTTCCCTTCTCACTGTGTTATTTAATCGCGGCTGTGTATCGAGGCAACCCCCTATGCGGAAGATTATCAGTTCTACCAACCTTGGGTATCGACAAAACTACAGCACCCTACAGCAGCGAAGAAAACTACACATCCTTCCGCAAGTTTTCTGTTTGCTTCCACGCAATGCTACTAATCCATGTGTCGGATCTGTTTTACCGGCATAGCTAGAAGGAGGCTATGCGGTATGCGCAGTGTATAACCTTGCCGTATAGGTGCCGCCTTGATCGCCAGATCAGCGTAAAAGCACGTAAGAGAAAAACGCAAGATATTGAAAGAAAACAACGACGGTCTACAGAGTCTAAGATTATTATTCTTTTATTATATTCATCAAAACATTAAAATCTCAAAATCTTCGATTTTATTTTCCAAAGTATTTGGTTTATATCCCGAATTCATAGATGTTTTTCTCAAAATTATGAGATTTATCCTCCGGACAATTGTACCTACTTCGTGGGGACTATACCTACGTGGGTACGTGGGGTTCAATTTTCAATGTTGTTTCAATGTAGCTGATAGATATAACTCGGAAACTATAATATATGAGAAATATAGGTGGCGCGATTGAAGGGTCAATAATATGACATTCAAAAACGTTCCCTTGGACTCTTATTCTTTGAGTTATTTCCAGAAAACTGAATTTCCGGAATTTCGAATTTATTTCTTTTGTCGTTGGTAATGGAGTCTCAACAATAATGAAAAAACATCTTCATAACAACTTTTGATGTTAATTAATTTGGCATTAACCGTTTTCTGATCAAACGTTTCGTCGATCAAACGTTTCGTCTATGAGCGACCATTATAAACTTTATATTTATTAATACGGTCCTGGTATCCTGATATCAGATTGCTGATAAGGATATAGCCCTTTCCATTTTAATTTCGACGTTTCGAGCTTATTTTGTCCATCATCATCAACTTGAATGGTATATGTATATATAAACTGTTTGAACTCTGAGAATGCTTCCGTTCCGTTTCGAATAGTTTTGACTTTTTGAGGATTTTTTAATCTCTGATCATCAATTGATTTCAACTTTTATTAGTAATAGGTATGCAAATGATTGAATATTATTCACGTACTCCGAACTACATATTGATGTTGATGAAGCATTGTTGAAGTTTTTGAACCTGTTACTGCTCTAGTTGAAATAACGATTTTTTTCTGTTTTTATTCTCCAGTGAGTTTAGTTACTCATGGCAAATCATGCAGTTCTAGGTTTTCGTGAATATCAAACCAATGAGACGGAAATGCATGGTTGCAACTTGCAATTATTGTCATCCATACAGATTTTACAACCTATAGATACATAGATAATTAAACATAAAAATAACATATTTCAGAACATAGATTGATAGCTATGATGCCTAACCTACATTAAACATATGGGTATCAAAAATGAAATTTTAATATACATATACACAGTGAGTACATTCATTGAATCAAGGATTGATCAGCTTGGATATTTCTAATTTCTATGTAATAATTAATAGATTGATAAAGAAATTGATAAATGGATCTACCTCAAATTGATGAAGCTAGAATGTGCTTTGATATTGCAGTTCTATAGTTTTTTTGTGAGTTAGTCCAATCGATATTTATGAAGACATTATATTCGTTTACCAGTCGAAACATGGATACAAGAGGA